CTTGACTTATTATTTAATTAAGGACTGCAACTACATTTTTGACAAATCACAAGCGTGTGGACTTGGGGAAACCAAATACCGTGACTGGGATGAGATGGAGTTTGCCATCTCCCGGCTGCCACTCTGCACAACAGGCTACGCGCCCGGTACGTTAATGTTGGACGTGATAGGTTAATGTCAATTCGCTATATAATTTGTCTGTACCTGACCACTGCGAATCCATGCATCGGGCTAGGCAAAATTATCTTTCCATTATTGGTCGTATATCTTTCATCTGTGTGTCTGTTCTCTATTTACAAATACAATCTGTGTGTTTTCTGCCTTCAGGTACCATGATGTTCATTTGAAGTATAATTTTAGAAATTATCAAGATGCCTTTCATGTCCTATTGAGTTATTAATAACATTCTGTGCGGGCTGGGAACTAAGACATGTTTGGTGGCAATCACGTCATAAAGTTAATGTCAGGATCATTACGGTCAGTTCTGACGTTTGCATCATTACGTCATTAAAACGGACGCACGAGGATTGCTTACGAAAGAGCACGTAATCAGCACATACGCCACGAATTGCAAAATTATTTCTAAATTATTTGAAAAACAAGTATATTACAATATAACACTGATATTAATACGGGATGAATTCGCGTCGTGGTGCATCGATATGACATTGTTCCCTCTCGTAAATCTAAACGGATGTGTTGCAGTTTAATATTGCTAATTCTCTCCCCACTATAGGGAGATGGCTTGTCCCGTGTGGCTCCTGTTACGATAGACAGTCCTGTTACTGGTCCAACGCTGTTTGGCAGCCTTACGATTGCCGTTACATGGACTTAAATGAAAAAAATCTGCAAACATGTCTTGCTGGTCGAACGGTAAGTCTGATTGATCTGCGGGATATAGCGTTGCCTGCTGAAAAATAGCGACAAGGTGTTCCAACGCAGCGAGTGTCGGTCACATGAATGTTGTAGAATTCGCATTAGATTCAGGTGTATTGGGAGTTGTTAAGGAGGACCCTCCCTCGATCGCTTCCTCCTTAACAACTAGGAATCCGCCTTTGCGTGAACTTCCAGCCGCATGTTTTCTCCTCGATCATCATATGCCACCCTCTCTTCTACCACGGAATGATTATATTGTAGTCAGTAAGCAGTGACGGTGAGGCAGACCGGAATTAATGACAATGACAGACGCACCTGGTACCTCAAGCCCAGCACTGGCCAGGGGATGATATAAAAGATGGTCTGACGAAGTACGCGAGACTTGGCTCCTAACAGACAATCGATGAGGCACGCCAAATCTAGTTTCCCGCCAAATCTAGTTTCCCGCCAAATCTAGCTCCCGCTAATCCGGTTTCTCGTTGCCGCTATATAAACCACTTCCGCTAGGCATCGGCACTTTACGTCACACCGTCACTGCGGACTTGTTTGTATTTCTCTCGAGTTATCGTACTTGTTATGGTTGTAATATTTGACTATGAACTTGGATAAACTTACTTCTACTTACTTGTATTATATTGCATATATTGATGATTTACGTTTTCGTATTTCACTCTCGTAAATCGTACTTGTTATTAATACGTAGTAATATTTGACGCGATGAAACTCACTTCCACTGACTTGAATTATAGTATACGTATTAATGATTTTGCATGATATGTGTATGGTATAAACTGTACATAATAAAACTTTACGTCACACCGTCACTGCGGACTTATAGATTGATTTGAGGACCGTGCAACGGCATAATCGAGCTAACCCCCAGTGAACAGACGCATCACAGTACAACAACTACTCACCAGAAACGCCTGCTTATGTGTGGCAATCCGTTTTGCGGTTCATTTTACCAGATACTATTTCAAGGCGACTCGATTTTACACGGATTTTTCGCCTACATAAAAATCGCCCTTAAATTGAAGAAAGGAACCGGCGTTGCGTCTGATCGACACATCTACGTGACCACGTCCAATGAAGGGAAGAAGGTTGCCATGCAGTACACCCGTCTATTGGCGTTAAAAAACGACGACGTGGTGGCCATACCAAGATACTTCAATAGCGAGTTGGACAAGCTGCTGTCGGCGTACGTTATTGAACACATACATCACACACGCACGCACGCACGCACGCACCTACCACCATGATATTGTAATCAGTATGTCATGTGTCAAATACGTCTATCAAGTACAATACGATCGTGTTGATTATGTTTGTGTGTTGATCATTTCAAAACGCGCGTGTATAAAAACATCTTCTAAGGTTTCCCTGTAACATTCCACAGAGCTGAAAAGATAGAAAATACGAAGAATACCATTTTCGCATTAGGTGGCTCATACTGGATGCAACCTGCAATATATAAATGGTTCATGGGCAGGTTAGACAAGTAGGTCTATTTAAATGCTTAGTAATTTCAGATGGAAATCTAGGCGGAGAACTTGTTTTTGGAAGTTCGCTTAGCGGTAAATCAAATGCTGTAAGTGGAGTTTTAACAGTAATATGAATGATTGAACATAACCACTGAGTGTGTTAATGTGTATGTATGTGTGTATTTCAGTGCTGGATTGACACATGTTACTATTGTGATAAAAATGGACAATGCTGTTCTGCATCACCCACAGATAGAGACCACTACTGTAAGCAATGGTACCGTTTTGGTTTATATAGCGTGGTCGCTATTTTATTGTTAGCTATTAGTAGTAAAAAATAACCATATATGTAACTATAAAATCATGAAAACCTTGTAATTTTTACAGTTCCTATTTTCTAAAACCCAACGTTCTCATTTTACTGTTGATGTTGTTTTCTTTGATTTTCTTTTTCTTGCGTTTATATTTATGCAACATGTTGAGTTTAAAAAAAATTCTGTTTTCTTTTTTTTGCCTTGCTAAACTAGTGTGAGGTAACAGTTACGATGCAATGCAATTTATCTAAGACGATAACAAGGTTAATATATTGTTGAAATGTATTTTCGGCGTTTTGCTTGGAATATCGCTTATATTTCAGTGGGATCCAGTTCAACATCTGAAAAGAAATCTAGCCGTCGCCCATATGATCGAGTCGGAGAAACCGAGGTCACAAAACGTAAAGCTTGTTAACCCAATGAATATTACGATGCCCATGTTCCAAGGATTTTTTGGCGGATACTGCGCTTGTCATTTTGAACAGGTATGTGTGTAAACTACGAGTACGCGCAGAACAAGAAGGAAGAGTGCTTACGAGTGTATCATTGGTAATAGAAACAAAAGCTGTCGTAGGAAATGGATAGGCTTAGTATGGCTAGGCC